ACTTTTAACCAATCACAAATTGTTAGCTGCTATAATATACAAATTATCGTTTTAATTATAGGTTGGTTTATCCAGCCAAAATGTCATCCGGCCAGGGGCTCGGTCCCACTAGGCCGGATATGATGGGTTTTACTGTAATTTGCTTGGTCCGCTCAATATATTGCAAACAGACAACTGCATTGTACACCCTTTAATAATAATGGACTTCTACACTAAGACACTTAGCGTGTGTATGTCGTCGACTGTTGTAGTTTAGGAGGCCCAAGGTCAACTTGACGTGTCACGGCTTTGACCGAAATGTCCCGAGCTCCTGCGACTCCAAGTAGGCTGATCCCACCCGAGCTATCTCACGTGACCGAATTTTAACGTCTGCCTTCTACGGTATTTCTAGTTTCTAGTCCAGTGTGTCATTACCAATTTAGAAACAATGGGAAACATCTAATATACTCGTTGAAAGGTATTATGTGGACATTAGACTATACTATTAAAGTAGCTGAGTTGATCGTTGGTATTGCAATTACAAGCAGTATAAAGCATGATTATGTTTCTCATAATTTTAAATACAAAAAATCAAATTTATTTCTTATATTTTGGGGGGGGGGGGTTCCAGACCCTCCGCCCCCCCTCCCCTCTGACTACGCCCCTGTCCATTTACACTCAAATTAAAAGTCATAATTGTGATCTTTTATAACAAAACCCATTGATCAAAGGTAAGAAAAAAAACCTGATGCATATCATACAGCATTTTATTGTAGCAAATTGCACTGCTTGTTCTCTGTAACACATCAGTACTTGATAACACCACTGTCAAACTATAGGTTATCTACTGTCAAACTACGTTTAAATGTAACAATTACTGTATAAAATGCTTGAGAAACTGGTTATTATCAATATGAGCTTGAATGTTCTAAAATGTGACAATCCACATCTGCCACAGGAAGCCCTTGATTAGTTTGACAGAAATATTTTAATGAGTAAAGAACATCTTGAGTAGATGAAGAAATATTACTTGTTTGAAAGTAAAATATATAACCCACCATATCCAACATGAGAACATTTGCCTCAACAAATATTAATCTTTTTGGCTGTATTACAAATTGTAATACTGGTTAATTTATGACTGTGTACAAGAACTACTCTAAAATATTTCATAAATTTCGGTTTTTGTAAAATTTGATAAAGTTTAATATTGTTCTTACTGAAATAAAAAAGATAGTTCCTAACAAACACTAGGGTGCAATCTATATCCCTTCAATAGTTCCATAACATTAAGTATCCAGTTTTTGCTGCCATTGTGGTGTATGTGTAAGTGTAGAAAGGCGTTAGCCAGTGAAGTAAAAGTTAAAGAATGGACAAATGGACAATGACAATACAAATGAACTTTAACTAAGGAATCATGATCACGAACCTACAACACTATGGTTGTACAGTTGGACTATACAGGGTGTCCCGTTAGTAAACAGCCAAACTCTGGAAAATTGTTGTATGGGTGAAATAAAAAGAAAAACATTTTTTCCAAAATACTAGTTTTGTTAACCACATAACAGTCATTTTTTACCTTTCACATAGAGGTAGACGAGACCCATGTTAAAAAAAAGGTTATATTGATCTAATACAAAGTTTCAAAATGGCGGCCATTTTAATTTTTTTAATGGCTGATTTTTTTTTTATGTCACAAACCCTTTTATTTAGCATTTACAATTTCCTATCTAACAACACCAAGCTCAAAAAAATTGAATAAAAAATAAATATTACAATTTTTAGTTGTAAAATGAGGCTAAGCTAGTCAGGTTTGTCTAATTATAAAACTAAAAACCGTGATATTTCAGTTATTTTTTATTCAATTTGTTGAGCTTGGTGTCATTTGATAGGAAATTTTAAATTCTAAATAAAGTGTTCATGACATTTTATATAAAATCAGCCATTTTTTGTAATTTAAATTTAGTTTAATACTGAGCAATTGCTACTACGATTCTCTTTTTTTATGAATAAAGCTTCCTTGATCTTCGGTTTGAAAAATTTTCAAACAACACAGATATAGCATAGGGTTTTAATTTTTACCCAACCCGCCATGTTAAACTTCCCTATCCCAAGTGTGATGTAAACAACTTCTTTACTTCACGAGTGAAGTAAATTTTCAAAAACCGACTCGGTGAGGTAATGAAACCCATTAAAATAACATTGAGTGCTCAACTTAAAAAAAATATACTCTATGGAGCCAACAAAGTTTAACGCTAGAAATCAGCTGTGCAATTTAATTTTATTGTTATGCTTTAAAGAATTTTCCTAACCTAGCTTTTGTTTGTATAAAGAACGTTTCTGTTAGAAGATGAGTGAAATGGATAATGAAAAATATTGTACTTAACCCCCTGTATATTGTCGGGTCAGGTAAAATCTTGTACGTTAAACGTTAGGCAAGAGCGTGTTTACATCACTTAGGTGAATAATGCAACTCGCGTCCGCTTGTTGCACAACATTCACATGCGTGATGTAAAAACTCTCTTACTACACTTGTAAGGTAAATAGGTATAAGATAATATAGGTAAATAGGTGGATGCTATAATATTCCAGTTTCCATAGATAATGGATATGATGGGTTGTATAAATAGGTATTAAGTATCAGTACAGACTACATTAACTTGGCTTACAAAGTGGTCAAAAAATAATATTAAATTCATAATGTACCGTTATACAATTTTCATGATGAATTTCACACATTTATCAAATAATATTTCAAACATATATGATTTTGATACAATCAATGCATAACTATTTTTACTGTAAATTTGATTTTTACTATTACTACCTTACCACATATATGAATAGTATCGGTGAGAATAAGATGATGATGATAATAATAATTTTTTGCTACATATAAAAGTGGTACATAACATTGATTGTTCAATTATCAATTATCATAAATCGTATGATAAGACACATTGTATATTTTATGCAAAACATATTCAGTACAAGTTGTTCCTATGTTTTGTTAGTATTAGCTTTTCAAGTTTAACTATTAGATTTTTAATTTTTCAATGTAAAAACTTGTAATAATTTAGTGACACTAACAATGCCAGACTGATCACAGACTCTAACTAGTGGGGTATACCATTAAATTTTGGATACTACGGAAGACATCTCATCTATATGGACGAGCTGTAGTCTATTTGAATCAAATAAAAGATGGTTATTTGAATAAGCTTCTCTCAGAGTAAGCTGCTGTCTCAATTATATTTTCTTTTTCAGTTTTTATACTGGGATAGTTTATGTGACAAATAACATACTAAGTATTTTAATAAGATTTCTTTTAGTTCGGTTTAACCGTTAGTGAAAACAACACAAATCAGTAATAATTTACAGCAACACATCTTTCAGAGACTAAATACAACCACATTATTCCTAACCTTAAAACAGTCTAAAACATTAGGGAAAAGTCTGCTCAATGGCTGAACCAAGGGAATGATTTTTGAGGGGGGGCACTTGGATCCGCCACTGTCTCTGCTCAAATATATTGTAACACTTCCATTACTAAAATTATTCTAGAAATGGCAGAGGTATTTATCAAATACTTGGTCTTGGTACTTGATGTTAATATGCAAAATTGGATCCCCGATTAAAATAAAATGCACGCTGGTCTATTTTTGTTGGATAACTACAGTAAAATGTCTGATTGTTGAAGGATTATGGAGATTTTAATTTAAAATGCTAATTTTACTGGTTTTCAATTAAATGAAAGTGTTCTCTTTTCTGACAATATCAATGCAAATTAACTTAAAATTGCATTTGAATTTTTATTTCAACGAGAAGATTCAAGTGATAAAATTAGGAAGGTATCATCAAGAAATGTTAAATCTTTTTTATAAATTACTACTATTATTTTATAGGCATTCCTTTCATTAAATTCATGATTCAGATCAAATTGTGTTTCAGTATATATTATTCATATGGTGATACTGTACTAAGTTTATGAAACAATATAGCATCTATTACATGCTGTAAAGGGTCATTAATAGGATAGCAAATCAACAATAGCTAATCCTAAAACTGTAACACACAACAAACCACAACACTTATCTTTCTACCAACAATAACAAAGGCAAGCAGGATAACAAGCTATGTATAGGAACTGTCTACAATGTATATCTTTATACATATATATTTCTCTCTATGTACTGAGATTTAAGTTAATTGTTGGATATTGATTGTAGGGAATAATAGTCACACATTTACAGAAACACAAACACAGCAGTTAATAATAAATATATAATTAAGTAAATCGTCAATTTATTTCTTTTTGTTACAATATTTTGTTAATTATTTCAAATTTGAAGTAATTTAATGCAAGTATTCATTAGACGTATACGTTAATGATACTACAACTACTTTCATTCTGGAAATTAAATAGACCATTAGGTGCCATTAGACCTTTGCTGATTGGCTTATTTGATAAGGAAGTGTTAGACTTAAAAAAGATAATCAATATTGGATTTGAGTGTTATCCTTTGAAAACATTTTAAAATATTTTGTTCTAACAAACTGTATAATTATGAAGGAAGCTATTTTACTTGGCTTCCATTAAACAATTTATGGGTATCATAGTTTCAATCAGTTTCATATCAAACATTTTTTAATTTAAAAATTAATGGCTATTATAAACACACATTAAAACCAAATTCAGCAACTGCGTTGAATGTGTTTCAATAATAATGAGTCAATTGTTTCAATGGCTACAGGAGCGACTTAAGAAAAAATTAAAATATAATTTGTATAAATTACACTGATATTACTTAAGTGGGATGGATAAATAAATGTAGTACATAGATAATATTTTAGAGATTTGCTCATGAAGTTTAAAAGTGTAACAAAAATTAAATTTGATATAAATAAGTCACCTAATTAATAAATTGATTTAGATAAACCACAACAAACTAATACTATAATAAATTTAATTTTAGATCTACACAGATTTTTAAAATTTGTAAAATTATAACAAACTGTTTTCCTCTAAAAGTATTTGTGCTTGCAATGCAAATGAACAATACAAAAACGTTAAAACTGTCTAAAACCTTTAGATATTCTGACATGAATATTAATATATACACTTTAGCGATTATTTTATAGATATTACGTGTCGGGAAGCCGAGGAAGCCCTTGTAACATGTATTTATGTACAAATATTTACTACAATATACAATAAGTAATACCCATAATATACAAGATAAGAAGAAAGTTAGAAGATACATTTGTGTAGTTCTTTAATACATTGATACTTTTGAGGTATTATAATTTATTATATCATAGTAGTAGCCTATATTGATTTATCAAAGTATATTAATTTTCTAAAATTCCCTTTTCCAATTTTTCATTCTAGTTTTACTCTTCATGGAAGTGTATCCAATTAATCTATCTCCCTCGGCAGATTTAATGCTGACAATGCCGTTTATTCAGTACAAAAATTAAGTATTACAATTAAGTTTACAACAAGCTACAAATGCCTTGTCTGCAGCTAACTGTAGTTAGTAAATCATATTCCTTCCCTAAGTCCAAAAATTATAACAAAACCCAGGCAATGCTTTAATTTAAAACTAACAACCAATGTAAAACCTGGTTTGGTGTCCTAATATACGTAAATTTTTATGTTAATTTAAAAATACACTCATGAGTACCTAAAATAATTGACAGATAAATAAAATATCGACAAATTTAAATTAAAATTTATCTCAAAAGACTACTCAAAATTACTCTTTGGCATCTACATAATATAGAAAAGTTCCCTAGACCATTTTGTCTACAGTGTGATGGACTATGATTAGTTATGGCTACAGTATATTATTGACTTGTTGATATTGAGCAAGTTATAGCATTTATAGACAAAAGGATACAAATCAAAGATGAACAGGTTAAGAAAACTACAAAAAATCTTCTAAAAGATACTATTACATATTGCAATACATGGAAGTATATTTTACTATTGTAAAATTGTATATAATAGTTGGAATTTGTTACTACTTGTTTATTACAGTAAAACTATTTTAATACTGTTACAACTATTTAGCACTTTCAATGTAGCATCAATGGTAATTCCTTTACACAAAGATAGACATTGATACTTCAACAGGAACAGAAAATAGTAATTGGCTGCATTTCAATAAATTCAATAGACTCACTAATTAGTCCTGTTACTTTGCAAGATAAAAAAAATACACCATAGACAAAAGTTTAAAGGAAAGGTTTTGGACATTACTTGTTACAACAACAGTGTTTATAATGTACATATATCTTTTTTATACATTTGAAAAGTTTGTTTGGATCTCATTTACAATTTCAAATACTGATAAAATAACAAAACAAAATTGATTGTCCTTTTATTAATCATTGTCATTGGTGTTCCCATATTTTCTAGCAACAAATGGGTTTTCTTTAGTTTAAGATGGTACTCAACTGTGGGGAGCGAGCTTGTGTAGTGGTTAGAGCGCGGGACTTCAGTCCCTGTGGTCCCGGGACTTCAAATCCCATCATTAACTGTGGATAGATTTAGATGCTAACCAAAAGTGTTAAATTATAAATGAAGAAGATACCAACAACTGTAATGTCACAAAATTTTCATAAGTTATAAAAATAACTATGATTACAAGGTTTCTATTTTTTTTAAAGCTTGATACAAATTTACACACATACTATGAAACTAAAATAAAAAGATCAACCTAAACTATTAAAAAAAGTACATCAAAACATAAATAAATTTTAAACCATTTACAATATAGTTTATATAGTATGGGGTTTCAGTAACTTAAATTGCCATTAGTTTTGTATATCATGCATAAAATATTATTTTCAACTAGCTGATCTCAAATATGATTGTTCCATTTACAATAAAATACAAATTAAAAACTGCATAACATAACCAGCTCTAAATATCTTAAGATTAACAAAATAAATAATCCTCAATACATTTTTGATTTACGAATAATCCTGAAAGTTTACAAATCTGTAAAAACTTCTATAAAGTGAACAAGTACGTCACACATATACCATTTTTAATCCATAAAATCTTGGTTAAAACTGAATTCACTAGTTTATCTTCAAACCAAACCTGGAAAGTTATTGTCGAACTGGCAAGATTTGTATATTCTAATAATCTAAAGTAGTTAGGAATGAATGCAATAGTTTTCTTATCAATAATATAATAGGAAATCAAATCATGACTAGAAACATTTTGAACTATTTATAAATATAGTCAGAGTTCGTATTCACAGCTATAAATACAAGATAAAATAAATATAGGTTCAAAAGTAGTAAATAATTGCTTGCGAGACCATTTAACACAGAACAATCCAGGGGAAAAAATGATCTCATAGGACAAGTTTAGTATGATCTTTGCTAAAGTTCAAAATAAATCAAATATTTAAAGTGAACTAGTATTTTAAAACCTTATTAGCTCTCTTTTAATTGCCAAACAATTTTTGAAACAAAAATGAAGAAGAAAAGTAATCTTATAATTAGTATAAAATAAAATATTAGCACGAGACCACTTAAATTGTTCAGCAGTGGTGTAAAACTAAATTGTTGCATCACATTGCACCTTAGGCAACTAAAACTAAATAAAAATAAATCATTAACAATTAACTGGTAAATACTTCTGGGTTCAGTGGTCGAGTTGTATGCCTGATTACCGCATTGCCTACAACTGATAAGATCAATCTGCATTGCTCGAAACTTGACTTGTCACTGACTGACTGCTTCTGGAAGTTTTCCGAGAACAGTGTTCCAAATAGGCAGCTGGAACCCAGCCCTCCTCCCCTCCGCCACCTATCAAAATAATGGCAATTAGACCCACATTCAGGAAAATCTGTACCCCAATATCAATAACAGTTTGCGTTTCAGGGTGTCTTTTAAATTTATTAGTAACTAGTGGAACCCCGTCGAAATCGACGGTTAATCTTGATGTTTTATGTAAATTTAGCTAACTGCGATAGATAGAGTGAAGTTACTAAAATCTTAGTTAAATGAGGGAGGATAAGCATAATAATAAGTATGACGATTGTGTTCCCTAAAAAACGTGATTGATGAATTCGTTTAACACAATATTTCCTACCTTTTTATCGGCTTTAGGTTGCCCAAAAGGTTTTTTAGAAGTCTTATAAATGTTTGTTCATGAGTTTGTTTCATGTCAAAGTCACTTTCACTACATGGGAGAAGGAGTTCATATAATTAGTCTATCATGTTACGGAAAGAGTCAATATTACTAACGACTAATTCCATCTGCTTTAGGAAAATCATTCAGATTGTATTCGGATTTATAAGTGAATCTTCATCTTTGGTTATAAACATACAGAACGTTATTAGCATATTAAATCAGTTTTTTATTCGATAAAAATATCTGATTATCCAGAAAGCAGTAACATTCTTACTTCGATCCAAGCAATTTTAACTCCTTGTCTTGCCACATGGACCCATGTATTTAATCATCCTGTACTTACTTGCTAATTGATTAACTTATGGGGTCGTTTTGACTTGGCCATATCGATTACATAAAGCTGTGCATGTATTTCGTGGATGGAATGAACCATAATTGTAGGAAATTTGACCACAAATCTTAAACATTTGCAGAACCAAATCCATAACCTAGTCCAGCCTTGGTACCTAACAAATGATGCAAATGCGATGAGATGTGATGGCACTGTTGTGTTTCAGAATTTGTTGTATGAAGTGAGGTTTAGAGGCGTTGTTCGACCTAGATTGCATGATCCCAGGATTCAAAGTAAAAATCCTGTACACATTTTTATTAATACCTGAATTAGTGAATTGACATTAATTTACCTACCGTACTTCACCAAAACCATAGATGAAACATACTCCGTAAATAGCCTATTCCAAAACTTGAACACAGCTCTCATTCTCAATGTACTCATCTATAACACAATTTTCAACCCGATTATAGAAAACTTTTAAACCAATGAATGAATTTCTGGTCTTCTTTCTTGAATTCAATAATATTCTTGAACCTTACAATATGTATAAGCTAACCCGATAAGGAATAATTATATGTTCCTTTGAAACTGATATTCACACTGATTTCAAAATTTCAAATTTGTTAAGAGCTATTGCTCTTATTCATTATCTATGCTTTATTAAGCATAGATTTTTGAACAAAACATTTAAAACGTATCATAAATTCATCATTTTGTTGAAACCATAAAAACTTGCCATGCAGTGGAGAATCACTTTTAAATCATAAATAATAATGTGTAAACATTTAATTTTGACAGTTTCAGTAGACTTTTGAATACAATTTTAATATTAACAGCTGGTTCATTAAAAGTAGTGTAAAATTATCCATATGGTCGTAATGTAAACAAAACTGCTGAGTGAACTTTAAAGGCCTCTGGGGCAGAGCCCCAAGGAAATTTACCTCGTTTCTCTTTTGAGGGCTCACCTACAGACCAATACCTTTCTTTAGACACCCCTACCAAGTTTCTACACTCAGCCGTTCTCTCAAATTAGCTGTGACAAAACCCCGTTTTTCCTCCATAAGAATAACATGGGATGGGAATTTAAAGGCCACTGGGGCAGAGCCCCAAGGGAATTCACCATGTTTCTCATTTGATGGCTCATCTACAGACCAAGACCTTTCTTTAGACACCTCTACCGAGTTTCTACGCCCAGCCGTTCTCTCAAAATAGCTGTGACAAAGAAAAACAGTTTCAAATTAATATATAGATTAGATCAAATCAAATAAAAAATTATTGTTCACAGAAGTAGGTCAGCGGTGACAGAGTTGAGTGTTTTAAAATAATAAAATAAAATACATTAATATCAGCATGCGAATGATTAATGCCATATCAGTATTTAAATATGGTAACTAAGGGTAAAATCATAAAAGCCTCTGTTTTTCATGACAAAAGTGTGGCTGATAATACAGCAACGGATATAATAATCAGTTTAAAAGGGACAACCTAGAAAATCTTTTGATGCACTCTAAGTATGGGGGTTAGGTTTTTATACAATATTGTACGTTAATGACGTTAATCTCCCGCAATGGCTGTGAAATCATGAACATCTTTCGCACTCAGGGCAAAACCTAGAACATCTTCTGGTGTCATAGTGACATTGAGAACGCTTCTGTGAGAACGCACTGTTGAGAACGCTCATATTACTCCGATATACAAAAAAGGGGCTAGAACCGATATAAATAACTACCGCCCAATATCTGTTTTAAGTAATTTTTCAAAGATATTTGAAAAAGTTATCAATTTCCGGCTAGTAAACTATTTTAACAGCAATGATTTGTTTTATGAAAAACAGTTTGGGTTTAGAAAGACATTCAGCACCAACAGTGCACTGATTGAATTTATCAATGATGTTACAAGGGCTTTGGACAGGTCTGAAACTACTGCTGGTGTTTTCTGTGATCTGTCTAAAGCCTTTGACTGTGTGGATCATTCAATTTTGCTTTCTAAATTAAAAGACTACGGTATAAAGGGTAAAAGTTTTTCTTTATTAGACTCTTATTTACAGAACAGAAAGTATAGAACAATAGTGACCAAAAACGGTGTGAAACATATGTCAAACTGGAATTTATCTAATTATGGTGTACCTCAAGGGTCAATATTGGGCTCTCTGTTTTTCCTGATCTTTATTAATGACCTTCCAAAAGCTATTGGCAGAGATTTAATCTTATTTGCTGATGATACAACAGCAATCATAAGAGAGGATTCAGTAAATAACTTAATTGTATCAATTGAAAACACTTTGGATTGTATGAAAAATTGGTTTACAGATAATGGTTTAAAGCTGAATATTGACAAAACTCATATAATTAAATTTTCTTTAAAAAACAATGTAATTCTTGATAAAATTCCAAATTTAGTAGAATCTCATAGATTTTTGGGTGTATTGCTTGATACTCATATTAATTGGAAGATTCACATAGATAAGATGAAAGGCAAACTAAGATCTATTTCTTTTGCTTTCTTTCACCTGATAAACTGTGTACCTCAGGATACATGTATCACAGTTTACTATGGATACGTTGAATCCATCTTGAGGTATGGAATCATACTGTGGGGAGTGTCAACAGAAGTCAAATCCCTACTAATTTTACAGAAAAAAATTATTAGAATCTTAACCAAATCAAGAAGGAGAAAATCATGTAAAAACCTGTTTAAAAATCTTAGAATTCACACCATTTTTGGATTATACATAAATGAAATTCTAAATTGGATACATAACACTAAGGAAAATTTGTCAGATGCAGTCAAATTTACACATAATTATAATACAAGGAATAAATATAATTTCAGATTACCACATCACAAATTGACGACTTTTAGGAACAGCCCTCAATATATGGGACTTAGATTGTACAATGAATTACCCCTGTATCTTAAAAATTTAAATGCTACTCAATTCAAAGATAAAATAAAAGATAAAATAATTGAGAAAGCCTACTATTCACTTGACGAATTTTTGGAGAACCCTATAATGTAGATAAAAATTCTCTGATATCCTACATGAGTTTATTTTAATTATTTTAACTATTAATTTTACTATATAATACATCACTATGACGAAACACCTGTTCTTATGTATGAAATGTACTTTATAAAGAACGTATTGTGTAAATAAAATATGTCTTATGTCTTATGTCTTATGTCTTATGTCTGTGGTTATAGCTAAATTGAGAAAGTTTTCTTTTTTCAGCAGTCACGGCAAAATATAGATTATTGGAACATTGTCCATGAACATCACCTGCGACCGTGGCAAGATTTTTGATCGTGCATCTTTCTGCGATCAGATAAGTAAAAGCTCTGTTTAGCTCAACTCAAAAATCTAACTGATCACACACTTATGACCCCACTCCAGCTGGGCCTGAAATTTATTTCTGGTCCGAACCGAGCCCTCAGGATAATTGTTGGCATGACCTTGCACGAAAATATATCCACCACACTCACCAATATGCTTGATGTACCACCATCCAGCACATCCCACCTTGAGTAACTCAACAACATCACCTTCCCTCATGTTGACCTCACTGTGTCCCACGGCGCAGTAGTCTGCCAGTGCTACAAACCTCCCTCCCTACAACAACATCAGACAAACATAATACCGTATGATTATGTATACCATCATTCTGCATGTCACTTTGAGTAGCACTTAATGTACTAGGGCCATACATGACATACTACGTACATGTTCTGTGAGAGGTTCGTCTTCCTCACTGTTGGTATAGTCTGACGACCAAGCCACATCGTCGTCTGTAGGCTGACTGTTGCTGCTGGGAGCTGGACTGTGACTATGAGACACTGACTCGTCTACGCTGAGTGTGCGGCTGGGAGGTACACCACTGACCAGTGTGTTGTCTAGTGAGTAGGTCTGTCTCAGTGGCCTGCAAAGATTAAATTATTTATCAGTAGTCAAAGATTGTGTATAATTTAGTAAAACTGGAATAGCAATGGCTGGTTATTGACAGTACAGTAGACTATTAATAAATCAAAATTGATGGAGCAAGCAAATAAATTTGAATTTTTAAGAGTTTGATTTGGCACATCGTGAGAAAAATAAACCATTCAAATTAAAAAGAGTTTCATGTTTTTACATACTGTATTATTTAAGATACTACGTACAGAACGTTACAATGAAACAGCTTATTTTAGTTACTTTACAACAAACAACAGTTTATTTTAGTTAGTTAAAAAAATCTATCAATTTTTTTTGCTTTGCTGTTAGTCCTTGCGTCATCAATGACGTTATTAAAGACACTGTCTCCACCAAAGACTTATCAGGGGTTTAGAAACTACTGTGCTAACAGGATGTATATTTTCCTGTTATGACAGGAAGGAATCCCTTCCTTCAATTTATAGAGTGTCTTGCCGACAAAACATTAAATTACTGCACGTTTCAATTCACCACACCCTCTGCTTGGACTTCAAAATACCGAGTGTATCAAAATGCATGCCAAACCTCTAAATATTAGGTTTTATTTAGAATTATTGAAAGTTTTGCTTCATCAAGTGATTTAATTGCCAAGATTAGACTGTAATACATATTTGACTTGTTGAATACATACATTATACATATTATTATCACGTGGAGTGTATTGCTTTAAATAAAAGCCACGTCAGCAGCTCAGGTAGCTGTCAAAAACAGGTGGAACCAGTGTCAGAGTGCAGCATAATATTGAAACTGGTAATGATAAGCGACACCGGTGTTATAATAGCTTTCAGTGGTGAACAGTGTTTGATAAATAGACAAAACGGTAAAATTAGGTACGTTTTAGGCCATATTTTACAGTTGTTTTTCAACCTCTTGTTAGTAACCTCTTGCAAGCTATTGGTGAGGCTGACAGGAGAGCCCTTTGTAGCAAGGGTTCAAGACATAAGGTGTAACTTCCAACAGTCTTTATAAAATATCCTATCCACTTACCATATCCAACATATGTACATTATTTATGTAACTACTAATCGGCAACCGGTAATAATTGATAAGAATTATTTTAATAAGGGAGAGCTTATTAGTGTTAAGATGTAAGTGAATACCAGTAAAAGTTTTATCCTCACAAATTAATCCAAACTTAATTTTCTTCATTTACATAGAACTTGCTACGAAACATCACACATAGGGCTGAGTTACAAACTGGTTTAAACTAATTTAAAATTCCTTCTTTCAACATTTACTGTAATAAAAATTTTACATATTGTTCAAATCGAGAAAACTATTTAAATAGTAACATTACCAGTCACTCAATATCTAAAGGTGTTTGTTATTTAATGACTGATGACTCACAGGTGCTGTGACTTGTATTGTTTGATCTTGAGCTCAGTCAGTTGGTCCAGCAGTAGTTTCTTGATTTGGTCCACCCATGACTGTTTCAGTTGCGTTGTCGCTGCTTGTATGATGTGAACTTCTTGTCTCCCCTGCAGCCAAACCTCAAACGACCTTCCATCCCCCTTCACTGTCTCTGTCAAGCCCACTTGGGACATCTGGTTAAACAATAAATGAGACTTTCCAAAATTGTAACGAAAAACATTTGGTTTTAGTGTGCACATTTAAACTCACGCCAGATAAAATGTTCTTATATAAACAAGATATGTAATATAAACCAGAGGTCTTCCCGTTACCTGTCACAAGGACCAGGAAATAAGTACACTACAAGTTGGAATGGGTCGATTCTCGATTCCACAGATTCTCGGCTTTGAAATCTAAATTGAATATCGACCGCTTACAGTCGATTCCAATACCTGTCTCGTCTGCAAAGAACCCTGCTATTAGAAAATTACCACTAAGGCCACGATCATTCGAGAAGACAATAACGTTTCTGTGACCGTGGGAAACAGTCAGAATTCAGTCGCGATTGCGGAAGACGACAATTACGTTCACACAATCACGAAAGACGATGATGATGTTCCATTAACATGGGAGACACTGACAATGTCCACACAACTGCGGAAAATGAACAAAATATTTCCGCGATCGTGTAAGACGATGCTAATGTTTCTGTTACCGCGGGGGATATTCAGGACTTTGCTATAACTGCGAGACAATGACAATAACTACACGACCGCGGAAAATGATTAGAATTTTGCTAGGATCATAGAAGTGAAGGTTGATTATCCGTTACCGCAGGGGTTATTCAGGGTTTTGTTGTGACCGTAAAAGATAATGACAATGTCTACACAACCGGGGAAAATGAAAAACATTTTGCTGCGATCGTGAAAGACAATGCTGAAGTTTCGTTATTGGGGGGGATAATCAGGATTTTGCTGTCACTGCAAGAAAATAACAATAACTACATGGCGGCGGGAAATTATCATAATTTTGCCACAATTGTAGAAGTCAATGAAATGAAATTTCATAATTTTGCCAGTATTGTATAACTTAAGTCAATGTTGATTATTCGTTACCGCAGGGGATATTCAGTGTTTTGCTATGACCGCGGAAGATAATGACAATGTCTACACAACCGCGGAAAATGAACAAAATTTTGCTGCGATCGTGGAAGAAGATGCTGATGTTTTGTTACTGCAGGGGTTACTAGGAGTTTTGCCGTGACCACAGGAGACAATGGCGATGTCTATTAGGCCGTGGGAAATTATCAGGATTTTGCCACGAACGCAAAAGACGATTATGTTTTGTTACCGCGTGGTATATTCAACGTTTTGCTGTGATGCGGGAAACAGTGACGATGTATATAGGACTACGGGAAATTATTTTTATAATGGAATCGGAATGCGAACCGAAAATTTCTGGAATCGACCGATCACAAATTTTCAGGTTATATTGTCAATCATGGCCACATCTTCTCTACCCACAGAAGAAATTTACACACCTTCAGTATCCGCTTGAAGTGGTAGCTAGCCTTGTTGTGGTCCGCAGACTTCTTACAGAACATGAGTGCCTTCTGATAGAGGAAGATATGCCTCTGCATGGGCTTCAGTCTCAGGTCTCGTAGTCGATCCTTCTTGCTCTCCGGCCACACCGAGAAGCTTCCTTGCATCAACAGCTCTCCCAACTCAGCCAAATCTCCCTGTAGAAATAATAAAATAATAAACATAACAAGAGATGTGCAGCAATGTCGTACCAATAATCACCAAATATTTAGATCAATTGAGACTCGACTCCATCCAGATAATCAAAAGTATAGATAGTTGAATTTTTCAAGAAAAGGTATTGGCACCTGGCAAGTGACCAATTGATATGACGCCACTATAGTCTCTCCCCATGATCAATCCAATTGGTACCCATTAAAATATGTAGTTGATCACTGCAAACAGCATCTCTGTAGAGTTAAGAACAATTTTAATGATTTTTAACTTAGAAGATGGAATATGGAGAATGAGACACAACATCGAGATTAGAGAGCGCTATAAAGACCCTGACATCATAGCGGAAGTCAAGAGCAGAAGATTGAGATGGTTTGGTCATATTTCGAGAAGAGAGGAAGACTCCACTACGAGAAATGTACTTGATAGAAACCCCGAAGGCAGGAGACCACAAGGCCGTCCCAAACTTAGATGGAAGGATCAAGTACAAAAAGATGTAAGAAGACTGGGAAGGAGTGAAAATGACACCAAAGACAGGGACATCTGGAGGCAGTGTGTGGGCGAGGCCAAGTACCTCTTAGGGTACCAGTGGCCACTCCAGTAAGTAAGTAAGTCACCACAACACAAGACACAAGTGGCAGATAGATGAATCCTTTAATATGCTAAGCTTGACTCATTGTTGGTTAGACAATATATAAGGGTTAAAAAGTTTAATAGGCTACAACAAAATGCTAGACAAATGTATTTTAGCAGATATAAAAGCACTCTCTACAGGTTTTTAGTATCTAGGCCATTTTATAAAATCAAATATTGTTTGAGGTACCTTCATCTGAAATAAAATCTGTTTTCTGTTAAAATACTGTTGGCTATGGTTTTTCACATGTTTATTGTTTGTGTCTAGTAATCTTTATGTTTTTACCTTTGTGTATAGTATTTGCAGCTTAAATGTTTCTACTTAAATCTAGTCAACCAAAAATGTCCATTCACTAAGTACCTGTTACTGTATGCAATATTTCATTTAGCCTAACTTAACAATTTGACTGTATAACTGTATTACTGTTCAATTGACCAAATAAAGAATCTTGTATCTTGCAACAAACTTAATTTGGACCTTGTTTTAAGGTTCTTAACCATAAAAAACTAAATAACAAATGAAAAAGATATACTTTTTGAATTTTGAATAAAAACTTACATACAACTTTTTGATGTAAATTCAAAGGTCAAACTTTGACATTTTTTTATATTTACATTTTTAAAGTAAATGTAAAAATATTTTTCCTAAAGTTACCTAACAATGTACATGTTCTCTCACTGATTTGAGAAAGCAAAGTGGCCAATTCGCTCATCAGTGAGACAATGTTACTCCAGATTTGCAACGTGAAGGCACGAAATAGTGAGCGCGTAACATTCAGGCAATGTCGTATGCGCGCGAAATACGTTGGCAGCACTGGCTGTAAATCAGCTGGTCAGCTGTTGTACTGTTGTATTTGTCACTTCACATTAAATGTTATATTAAAAGTTCACTTCTGTGTAAAAATAGGTTATGTTTCTTCACCAATTTATTTGTTTTATGGTAACTGTAGGAAAAGTATAATGTGCAACTCGAGGTCAAAGTACAATTGCCTCACTCGAGAAACCATTCCTCACTCGCCTACGGCTCGTGAGTAAGGATTTCTCTCGAGTGAGTCAATTGCTCACTTTTCTCACTAGTTGCACAAATAACTATTGTGCACTAACTATTGTTTGCATGTAGATTCAGAATATCACTTCATATTTATTACATTTTTTACAATTTAGATTTTTCAACCATGGTTACACTTGCCCCCAAAATTTTGCCGGCGGAGCAAGGGGAATATTAGTAACAGTTCTAGAAGCTGAAGAGACCGGGGTTTTTCTCTAACTGACCATAACAATATTATGCTAGATTAAAAAAAACTATATATTAAAAAAATATTTGTTCAAGTGAATCCTGTGCCCAAAGAGTTATACTACAATCACACAAAATATCACACAAAATTTAAATGCAATTTTTTTTAATTTCCTATTTTTATAAGATTGTCCCATAAAAATTAAATTTCAAAATTTGTTTAGGCTCCAAATTTAAAATATCTATGGCTAAACTTGTTACTCAAAAGGCAAGCTCACTTAATACAACCATCCATTTTGCTAGATATGTGGATCCAAAAAATTTAAGATTGACTCAGAACTAATTGAGATCACATTTAGTTAACTTGGACTCTGAAGCTAAGGCACAGCACGGCCATAGGAGGATTTAACCAGTACTTCAAGAAGTGAGGTACCTTGATCTAATCACTAGATCAAGCCAGCTGCCACTGGCGCTTGCTCACCCAGTATCCAGTGATAGAGATCTGATGCATGCTGTCGTTCACACACTTGAGTACCACCAACATACAGTCTAGAGCCTCCTGCAGCTCCCCACACCACTTCTGTCCCTCACTGTAATGGAGCAGGTCCTACAACAACAAATAACTCAGTAGCGGCTGGTGGGAGGGTTCTGCATATTTCAACATACATACAAAAGCCTACCCGTTTGTCAAAGAATTGAAAAACATTTTAAGTTTAAATTTGTAGGCCTAATACAAACACAAACACCCATCTTATCTTACTAATATTATAAATCTGAAAGTTTGTGAGTTTGTGTGTGTGTTTGTGTGTTGCTCAATCACGCATAAACTACTGGATGGATTGGGCTGAAATTTGGCATGATGATAGCTCACATTCCCGATTAACATTTAGGCATATTCTTATCTCAAAAATCTTTTTGAGCTCCGCCCCAGTGGCTCTGTAGTAGTTCCCTATGTTAACCTTATGAGTATTCATATTTAAAGGGAATTAAAGAATTTAGTCAGCTGTTTCAACTTTACAAGTTGGTTCTATAATATGCAATAGCATTAAAAAGTTATAACGTTTCCCAAGGTGCAGCACTATTATTTTGTTATTGCATGACAACAGCTAATTTGAACCAAGCAGCAACAAAAAGCTGTGATACACAACGAGAACTGTCAAAGTAGGATTGTTTACAGTTAGGTTTGAGTTTTTAATTTAATTAATAATTTGTGATATTGTGCGAATGTTTGATAATTTATTTTTTTCTATTGTTTAGGTGCAGTGGTAGAACATTATGGCAATGGTAGATGTGTTTTATTATATCATACCGTAAATTTATGAACCAAATTTTATCAAACTGTGTCCTCCTCCCATTGCAAACGCAAAGCTTGAGTATAACTGCAATAAGAATTTTACACTTATATGCCAACCCCGTACGAAGGATGGGTGCTCTGCTAGGACAATATAAATGTATTTATTTAAACTTGTTTCCAAGCTGCTATTCTAGTTAACTTGTCTGCAAATGGGTCTGTCCTGAAAAAAAAACAGAAATGATAATATTCTATAAAATATCTAAAGTTCAGTAGTAACTTAGTATACCTTTAACAGCAGTTGGTACTTGGTGATGCGCTGCACAGGTTTGAGTAAGTACGCCGCCAGTGGCAGTTTGTGGCCGAGCTTGCGTTGACAAGTGACAAAGAAAGCGTTGTCTCCTAGTGAAGCAATCAACCGCTCAGACCGAGGCTTATTCTGGCAGTAGTAGCTGTACAGTCGGTAGAATGACTCTTTCTGTAACATATCATTGTGTTTCTTAACTTGAAAGTACAATTTTAGAATCATGTATTTGAATACATGTTGTTATAAATTATTTTATACAGTACTAATAATAGGTTAAATACCTTTCTTTCCAATGACTAGGGCTTTCAGGGCAATCAGCCCCATTGTCAAATCTTCTGTCTTGCTATCTTGTTAATTACTGTTAAAAGCATTGGTCATTGCATTCCACATGTTGTACATACACACACTGCCACACGAAGTATTTATATTTATACGAAACATTTAACATTTGGCACATACTTTTGGCCGGCCTAAACAAAAATTACTAACGTGTAGCGGACCGGTACACTGACTCAGGAGGCAAAACATGGATCAAATTTTATATAGGTAACAGTTTAGGAGATATGAGCATTAAATGATAAAACATAGCGGATCCTGTAAATTTCCATCAAATTTATATGAAAGGTGAACGTGTGGGTAGAAGTTGTATGAATGGTTTCCAAGTCCCAGTGATTTTTGACAGTATTATTTAAATCCCTTTTTAAATCTTTGTCATTTATTTATTATTAAAGTGGTTTAAATACCTGCAATGTCGACAATCCCAAGTGGTTGTGAAACAACTAGTTTCGGCTCATAACGGAGCCATCTTCAGGTTTTCCAAGGACATAATCACTTCTTCCGAAGGTCGTCACAAATAATTTACATACATTTAAAAACATTAAAAAAACACGTAACACGCATGCCTAGGCCTAGCTTTAACGACGTGACCGGCGGGAGTTTACGTCTAGACTTAAAGTAACATGTCTAGACGTAAACTCCCGCCGGTCACGTCGTTAAAGCTAGGCCTAGGCATGCGTCTTACGTGTTTTTTTAATGTTTTTAAATGTATGTAAATTATTTGTGACGACCTTCGGAAGAAGTGATTATGTCCTTGGAAAACCTGAAGATGGCTCCGTTATGAGCCGAAACTAGTTGTTTCACAACCACTTGGGATTGTCGACATTGCAGGTATTTAAACCACTTTAATTGTATCTCGATAATCCGGAGGCTACCCATTCGAAAAAATATTTATTATTATTACTTTACCTTTTTTTACTATATTTTTTTTCTTTTTTTACACCTTTTAGATATTTCCAATGTTTAAGTTATCTGCTGTGGCTACCCTGTAAAATTGTTTTTCCCTTTTTGTAAATTAGATTAAAGATTATGTTAGATTATAGATTGTAGAATATGGATGGACTGATTAACTCGTTCACCACGCACAGGCTTTGCCTATGTGGGGAGGATCCATTTTTGTTTGGAATTACTGTTTGTATACTTTATTCATGGAATAAATGATGTTTGATTTGATTTTATTTGATCTGAGCAAACCTGTAATTTGTTTATATTACCAACCTAAGGTTAACTCAAGGTTTTGAAAAAAAAAAACCAAACATCAATATTTTTCTGAAGCGACCTTCTGTTACAATAAAATAAAAAAGATATTGTATGTATTGTAGTGTATGATTGGTTTATGATACCATTTCAATTTACTGTACATAATAGTTCTGATGTAACAATTCCTCATACAAAAAGTTATGTTAAATGGCTGCAATAAATCTCATTGAATCGTATAGAATCTTTGTGTATGAATAATGGGTTGTATGGCTAAATGTATTAGCGGAAAGTAAATAAAAGAAACGTCTTATAACACTTAAAACATATATTTACGCTTATACTGTTACTCACAAGACGGTAAATATACAAAAAAGATGGTAAGTGGTGATCGATTTCGATTGGACACTCCAATCATCATCAGATCCAATAGGCGAATGACAAGAATCTTGAATGGCGTCCCTACTTCAAGATACATTCAAGATTCTTGTCATTCGCCTATTGGGTCTGATGATGATTGGAGTGTCCAATCGAAATCGATCACCACTTACCATCTTTTTTGTATATTTACCGTCTTGTGAGTAACAGTATAAGCGTAAATATATGTTTTAAGTGTTATAAGATGTTTCTTTTATTTACTTGCCGTAAATCGAATAACACGTACAATGCTGATCAAGAAGTTATTTAAATGTATTAGGTAAATAAACTAATTTATTTACATATCTATTTACAAAAACCATTTGCAAATTATGATAAGAGTTCTAAAAGTTAATCTTAAGTTTCTAAAAAGCACGATTAAACAAGGAACTAAGATTAAAACAATTTAAGGTTATCTTAGAATCAAAATTCTAAGCTTTTTTACCACTTGAGATTTCAAATTAATTACTAGATTTGAATAGTACTAGTTTTATTTGGTTGAATAAAATTCTTTACTGCAGAAAATGAGTAGTTCAAACCAAGAGTAAGTTAGTGAATTTTTGACTAAACTCCTCAAATCATCTCTTTGTCTGATCTAGGCTATATAAAAAAAAAACATACTGAGGCTAAATTCAAAATTGTTCACACTGCGGATAGTTGAGCTGTCAGACTCACCCTGTGTGTAAAGCACAACGCCACCAGCTCCGTGGTAGAAATACAGTTCTCCAGGTCCTTCAGGAATACTTCTCCATGGAACCTGTACAGCTCCTCCAGGTTACCAAACAACACCTCTGCCTTGTCCTCCAGTCCAGCTGGTAGGAGAGTCCTCATGTCCTCCTCTGACATCTGATACTTATAACCCTACAAACAACACAAATATATAGGACAGTGGGAGATGTTCAGGGTTTTGCTGCATTCGTTGAAGACAATGATGTTTTATTGACTGATGGAAATATACAGAATGTTGCCAATATCTGAGGAGGTAAGGTGACTATAATATTGTAGTATAGTTACCTCGTCGAGTAATCCAAATGTTGCTGATAAAGGTTAAAAACCTACTGTACATGTTTCACCGTTAATACGGCATCGTCAGGGTACAAATAACATAAAAGACATTAGATGATTCGGCAAAAGAACATTTTAAGAAATTAAAAATTTTTACAGATTATGGGCGATATATTTATGAAACAATTATTATCGCCAAACAAATGAATCAGAGCAAGTAATAAATTCAGTGCATTCTTATAATTTTAGGAGGAGAAGGGAGTTTGTCCAGCCTCACAAATTAAAATTTTAAAAAAACCCTCATATGCTGGTAACGATTTTATAAAATTTGTCCCTGGATTCATAAAAAAAGAAACGAATCCATCTAAATTCAAGAAAATTCTAAATGAGCATATGATAAATGTAGCATTATATTCTTTTGATGAATTTTCCACCTCCCATAAATAGAAATAGTATTTTTATTTCAAGTATTCAGACACTATTCACTGTACCACCAATGTACATGATTTATGACGAATAATGATGTTTGAATATGAATATATTACTGTCACACGTCATAATAAATAAATAACACAAAACGAACATTTAGATAGGCTTATCACACGACAATAGACCTACTACCTGCACTGGGACCATCCTAATCTCTGCACTCTTTGCAATACAAGAACACTTCTCTGTGTGCTGCCACACAGGATCCAGATCCTGGCCGGTATTCTGGATTGAGCCGCTGTTATGAAAGATGTTCCCAAGGCCGCTGAGGGTTTAGGATTTTGTCATAATTGTGGAAAACAGTGATGATGTTTTCAGTTTAAACTTGATTTGGGGTTTGATTTTTTCATTGCTGCTCTATTTTTTCTTCACTTTAACCACTACTCCAAAATTAATCTGTGTAACGACTTAAAAACAGGGGTTGGTGTAGTACAACCAATTTATAAAGAAAATTTAGTAAATCGAAAAAAAAGTTTGGTGTCAAGAATTGATAGTAGAAAATTTTTCAGGTATTGGTGTCGGTATCGAGAATGAACAGATTTTGCTATAGTCACATATCTAATCAAAACGTGAAAGAGTTTATTTTGCCAAAAGATTTTGATTTTTGAAACAAGGTTCTGAAGGGTTTCCAAAGGTTCTGGAATTTTGAGAAGAAGGGAATATGAAAGCCAAAACTTTTATATTGGGTTAGTTTGAAACTTTTATATTTGTAAGAAAATTTCTAGAGTGTCTTTTTTAATGTGGAAACTTAGAGATTGTGTGAGGGATGAGTATTTGAGGATATCTTATTTTTCTTTTGTCCAATCACATATTTGTTTACATGGAATAGTTTTGTGGGGTCACCCCAGTGCTGTACACGACATTCTCATAATTCAAAAGAAAATCTTGAGAACCATGTGTAGAGTGGATGAAGTGGAACACTGTAAACCATTGTTTATCAGACTAAATATCATGACATTAATAAACCTTTACGAGACCACTTTCATGCACATGACACGAGAGGCAAGGCTAAACTGGATTTACCCCAACACAGGTTGGCCAAAACAGGTAAATCCTTTAAAGCCAACTGTGTTAGGTTTTTTAATAGGCTCCCCCAAACTGCAAAACTCATCTCATTTAATCACTTTAAAACAACTATAAAAAATTGGCTAGTTGAAAACCCTTTTTCTTCGTTTGATGAATTTGAAATGTCAGAGTTTAATGTTAATTTTTAACCTGTTGTACATAGTTTTTAATTAATTTTAATTTAATGTATTAACATTTAGTAAGAATATTTGACTGTTCCTATTTCTGTATTGTTATAGATCAATGGAATAAATACTCTTGACTCTTTGTAAAGTTTTAATTTTAAAAAAGGCTGGAAGTCACTGTTCATTTGCAATTAGTTTTTTTATATATTTTTGAAAATAAATTATATCATTGTGTTTAAATAACGGAAAAGGCCCAGTTCTTATTTTTAACCACAGAGTTATAACTTACAGTCAGTATAGACCCCAGTTCCGCCACATAGAGCCGCTCAGTGTCCAGCAATTCAGTCAGCACATGGTTACGCTTGGCCTTGTGAGTGTCAGGCGGGGGTGGTGGGGCAGGTAGAGGAGTGGGGGTCTGTAGAGGCACAGCAGGCTCCGGTGTCACAGTCTGTACAGGGCGAGGCGGACGACGTGATACACGTTTCAAGCTGCTCACACGCTTGTCACACATTGTCGTCACATCAGCTATCCTCTGCAATACCTGTAGGGAAACAATTCAGTATTATCATTAATATAGAAATTTAGTAGTATTATGTCTTAAATTTTAACCATACAATTTAGGAAGATTTAAGTCCTTAAACATTGGTTGGTTAGACAAGTTTGAAGCATACTTTGTAGTTTTATCTAATACTATACTAGAGCCAGCTTTTGGAGTTGAATGTAGGTAGAGCGTCTAATATGCCCTTCTAAATCATGGGAGAAACTGGAAAGTGTAATTTTAGATAAGTTAAACCCCCTGATCAAAACGAACTATCAAATATTGTGTTAGTCAGAAACAAAAAGATAAGTCATATCAGTCCTCAAATAAGGTATCACCTGAAATGTCTCCACGACCTGAATCATTATGTGTCAACCACAATGAAACAGCAATGCAAGCTATCAGCTAATGGGCTAACCAAGAACACAAGAAGAGATTGAAGGCTTGCTTAGAACTTCAGATAAGTTCATCCAAATTGCTGTGGAACTGATTTCCCTGAACCGCAATATCGAGGCAATAGTTTTTATCACAGAACACTGCCACTTTAAAATACACATGCAAACCTAATCTGCATTTCCACTCACCTGAGTGACCAGAGCCTTCGTCTCTGGAGTGATGGAGTCCTGGAAGAGTGTGTGGAACTCCCGCGGGCTGCTGACCTTGAACTGTGACGCAGACGACATGAACGCCTCGAGTTCAGCCAACGCAGCCTCTGCACTCTCCGCACTACAAGAACACTTCTCTGTGTGCTGCGACGCCAGCAGGTCTATGCCTTGAGTACACCAAGCATTCGCCTGAAACATTTACGTTTTCTTGATATCAATCTTCAAAGATAGAGAGAAAAATCAATATTAAATGATGCAAGACAATGAGATGTTTACTTAATTAGTCAATAGCTAGACCATAAAGCTTAAGAAGTGTGGTTAAGGGGAAAAACATATAGGTAGAGTAGAGACAGTTCTACTTGACTCAGAGAATTAACTTTTCTTTTACTCGATTTACAGTTTTTTTAGTGTACTTTGTAAGTCTTCAGAGTAAGGTAACGCCTGAATCCCTGGGTTACAACATACTCACATGACGAATTGCTATTAATAGTTAGAATCAGGCTCCTTGACAATTGTCCTGTCCTTTGACCATGGATTAGATGACTCAACTCAACCCCCCTTACTTATCCTATTATTCTTGCTTTTTTATCTCAATCTGTGTTCACTTTCATAAGCGAACAATACAGCTTCCCCTTATCTTCCATCTCAGGATTCATACAGGTTTTTACTACCAAATAGTTAAGATAGAGACTAGGTTCAGTTACAAATGTCTTTCACTAACTGAGCTATTACAACACTGGCTTAGCTTGCAAAATAAAGCTCTAACCTTATCAATGCTCTCCTGCAGCTCTCTACACTTTGCCAGGAACTCCGACCTCTTCTGCAGACGGTCTGCTAGAGTGACACTCATCCGTTGCAATTCCTCACACTTGGGAGCGACACAATCCAGGTGTAGGTAGTGTCTCCCTCGCAACATACGTTCTCCACAGCTGACCAGCTCTTCTGCTCTCTCTACCTCACTCTGAGAAGACAAAAATCAAAAGTCAGCCAATGAAATTAAAAATGTCTGTATTTGAGAAGCAAAGTTGGGACTAGCAAGTCTTCTCTACCTTTCACCTCTAGAACATAAATAAACTACTAATTTTAATAGTCCAAACTTGACAAGACTCATACTTTAAATTCAATCTTTAGGGATAAAACGATTTAGCCAGAGTAAAAGATCAGCAGTGTTGGAAACACTCTATCACACTTACGTGGTATTGTGTCTAGTTCATTTTACTAGTCATGGTTCACAGTCACAAGTCAGAGCTAAGACGGAAAATCAGGTATACTAGTGTACCTGTTGCTCGAAATCGAGCAATTGTCAAGTACTGGTATTATACAGAAGTTATTTTAAAACTACAGTAATAACAGTCATAATTTTCGATGAGTTTAAAAGACCCGACTAAATGCTTATGTAACTAATTGAAATACTCACGCTATTTAATAGCACTTTGAAATAATAAATAAACGCTGCTTGGAAAAATATTTTTGTATTTTTTGGACCCGGCCTTATTTTTTAGTGTTTTCTACAAATGTTTCCCGACTTATAGCTATTAACAGTAAACATTTCTTGCATGTATTTATTTGATTTGACTTTAGGTAGGTTTACTTTACCACTGTGACAGCATGATGTGTATATTGTTCATGGTTTTTTTACTTCCAAAATAAGTTGCTCAGCATAACTGGCAAAAATGATTCATCTCCCCAAGTGATGGTGTACCTGGATTCCTTACTGTGAGACCGGGCCTCTCTTCTACTCTTCTCATAAGTACTGTATAAGATTTCCTCACATTTGTTTTCAATGTAATTGTTACGGGAAAATGCGACCTTTGAGAGCAACTCGTGCTCTTAAGGGTAAGAGATTTTAAATTCTAAAATCTGTTGTTATAGTCAGAACAGTAACTGATGAGAGAACTACTCGTGGCTGCAAGGGAACTACTCTTGGCTGCAGACAGTATGTCCTCCTTGAGCTTGACAGACTCTCAACCCTGGGCCACTAGCAGCTGATGAGCCACCTACAGTCAGAACAGTACCTGAGGAGAGAACTACTCTTGGCTGCAGACAGTATGTTGGGTTGTCTCCTCCTCCTGTTTTCAATATTTCTCCTTTGAATTTAGAATTTTTCTGTTCTTCCAACAAAACTGATTAACTGTTTCGATTTGTTTATAACCTCCTAAATTATAGAAACATCAATATTAACTCCAAAAAAGTCAGTTTATTTTTATATAAAGCTGTTTTTGTTTTTAAATTTGTTTTCAATGTAATTGTTACGGGAAAATGCGACCTTTGAGAGCAACTCGTGCTCTTAAGGGTAAGAGATTTTAAATTCTAAAACCTTTATGCAAAACTACGAATTGAGAGGAATCATTTGATAACAGCCCTCACGTATTAATATAAGAGATATACATCAAACGGCTCAGGAGGCTAATGACAATTAATAAAAAACCTTGATGTTAATTTCATTTATCCTCCAGTCACTCACCACACATATCTTCTGAAAGACCACCAGCTCCCTGATGAGGATGTCCACTCTGTCCACTGTCTCCCCAACCTCAGTCATCTCACTGACAGACTTGAGATGTCTATCAAGTGCTCCCTGGATATCCTTGAAGTCCTGCTCAAACCTCTTTAGCTCCAGGTACTGATGTAGCCTTGCAGAGTGTTGTTGCCAAAACTCATCAAACGTTCGCTCCGTCTCCTCCAGCTGCACTAGTAGTCTGCAACAAAACTGAGTTGAAGGGGTGGTCCTTGTAAAATAAATCTTGTACTGTAATTGATCCATTCCTCTTAGGGGTTTTTGACTATACAGGGTGTTTCACGGAAACCCTGACAAACTTCAGAAAATGGTTCCTGGGGTCAAAACTGGTAAAAAATGTCCTTTGTTCAACATGTTCATGTTCCTTGGTCAAAATGTTCAACAGATACACTGAAAACCTAAAAAAAACATATTTTTACGTATAACTAGAAAACGAGTGAGTTTAGGACATATGTTTATAGGACATTTTTTACGAGTTTTGACCCCAGGAACCATTTCTTGAAGTTTGTCAGGGTTCCTGTATACCTTTCAGGCACATTTGGCTCAGTTCACCAGCTATTAAAAAGCCTAGAGACACAGAAAAAATCACAATGAAACAAAAAAAACTTGATACTTGGCAGTAACCTGTTCAACTCTCTATTTCTGGCAATATGTCTAAATAATAGCTGTTTTATCTATATTAAAATTTTAGCTATAACAGCTATTATTTAAGGTTATTTTAAGTAGCTTTTAGGAACAGCCAGAAAGTCCTCAACGATCCTAAGAAAAGTTAGTAGCTTTTTGATGGTTCGAAACTGGACACAGCGTCCCTGATCGTTGGACTTTACATAAATGATCCTGACTGATGAAACAGCTGATCTTAGTCATTAACAAAGCTACAAAGATCGTCTCACTCCATTCTACACTCATCCTTCACTCATATTTGGGTTAAAATACAGACCTACGTCCCTATCTCAATTAACTGATAATTATTGTAGTCAGGATTAGCAAGATGTCTGTCATGGATAAATTTTAGGAAACTTTAGCAAAAGTGTATCAGCTTTGTTAGAGGTTAGTGGCATTTTCCAACCTGCCAAATCTGACTGTGAATGAAACTTCTCGTCCAAAATATTGAGAGAGATGGTATGGTTCAAGTCAGTTCTTGATCTGATATCATCTCTCTAATAGGGTAAAAGTTAAGAATGCACACCAAGAAAATAGCTATTTAGAAATTATTTTTAATCCACAGCATGGCCATTTTATGTATAGATCTAATTATTTCAACTTCCTATGACAAACCTTTACTATTACCAGGGATCAAACCTATCAATCTTCATCTTGCTATTAACACACATTTTTTACTGTCATTATGCTCTATCTGACTGGTGATTAGCTACACAGCTTTAAAATGGATGGTAAATAAATCAAAATATCTCTCTTTTAAAGTCTGTCACAGCAGTTATGCAATAAACCATAGATCAAGTTAATTGTAAATTACAAAAAAAAGTTATAAATGACTGAGTGCCAAGACATACCTCTCCACCGCTGTAATGTTAGCTAGAGAGGAAGGCTCCTTAGTGGGAGTGCCTTGCAGTCTCTGTCTGATGTCTCCCAGTAGAGTCTCCCCTCGCTTGGCTGCAGACAGTATGTCCTCCTTGAGCTTGGCATACTCTCCACCCTGGGCCACTAACAGCTGATGAGCCACCTACAGTCAGAACAGTAACTGATGAGAGAACATCTCTTGGCTGCAGACAGTATGTCCTCCTTGAGCTTGGCATACTCTCCACTCTGGGCCACTAGCAGCTGATGAGCCACCTACAGTCAGAACAGTAACTGAGGAGAGAACTACTCTTGGCTGCAGACAGTATGTCCTCCTTGAGCTTGGCATACTCTCCACTCTGGGCCACTAGCAGCTGATGAGCCACCTACAGTCAGAACAGTAACTGATGAGAGAACTACTCTTGGCTGCAGACAGTATGTCCTCCTTGAGCTTGGCAGACTCTCCACCCTGGGCCACTAGCAGCTGATGAGCCACCTATAGTCAGAACAGTAACTGATGAGAGAACTACTCGTGGCTGCAAGGGAACTACTCTTGGCTGCAGACAGTATGTCCTCCTTGAGCTTGACAGACTCTCAACCCTGGGCCACTAGCAGCTGATGAGCCACCTACAGTCAGAACAGTACCTGAGGAGAGAACTACTCTTGGCTGCAGACAGTATGTCCTCCTTGAGCTTGGCATACTCTCCACCCTGGGCCACTAGCAGCTGATGAGCCACCTACAGTCAGAACAGTAACTGATGAAAGAACTACTCTTGGCTGCAGACAGTATGTCCTCCTTGAGCTTGGCAGACTCTCCACCCTGGGCCACTAACAGCTGATGAGCCACCTATAGTCAGAACAGTAACTGATGAGAGAACTACTCGTGGCTGCAAGGGAACTACTCTTGGCTGCAGACAGTATGTCCTCCTTGAGCTTGACAGACTCTCAACCCTGGGCCACTAGCAGCTGATGAGCCACCTACAGTCAGAACAGTAACTGAGGAGAGAACTACTACTCTTGGCTGCAGACAGTATGTCCTCCTTGAGCTTGGCATACTCTCCACCCTGGGCCACTAGCAGCTGATGAGCCACCTACAGTCAGAACAGTAACTGAGGAGAGAACTACTCTTGGCTGCAAACAGTATGTCCTCCATGACATGGCATACTCTCCACCCTGGGCCACTAGCAGCTGATGAGCCACCTACAGTCAGAACAGTAACTGATGAGAGAACTACTCTTGCCTGCAGACAGTATGTCCTCCTTGAGCTTGGCATACTCTCCACCCTGGGCCACTAGCAGCTGATGAGCCACCTACAGTCAGAACAGTAACTGATGAGAGAACTACTCTTGGCTGCAGACAGTATGTCCTCCTTGAGCTTGGCATACTCTCCACCCTGGGCCATTAGCAGCTGATGAGCCACCTACAGTCAGAACAGTAACTGAGGAGGGAACTACTCTTGGCTGCAGACAGTATGTCCTCCTTGAGCTTGGCATACTCTCCACCCTGGGCCACTAGCAGCTGATGAGCCACCTACAGTCAGAACAGTAACTGAGGAGAGAACTACTCTTGGCTGCAAACAGTATGTCCTCCATGACCTTGGCATACTCTCCACCCTGGGCCACTAGCAGCTGATGAGCCACCTACAGTCAGAACAGTAACTGATGAGAGAACTACTCTTGGCTGCAGACAGTATGTCCTCCTTCAGCTTGGCAGACTCTCCACTCTGGGCCACTAGCAGCTGATGAGCCACCTACAGTCAGAACAGTAACTGAGGAAAGAACTACTCTTGGCTGCAGACAGTATGTCCTCCTTGAGCTTAGCATACTCTCCATTCTGGGTCACTAGCAGCTGATGAGCCACCTACAGTCAGAACAGTAACTGAGGAGAGAACTACTCTTGGCTGCAGACAGTATGTCCTCCTTGAGCTTGGCAGACTCTCCATTATGGGCTACTGGCGGCAGCTGATGAGCCACCTACAGTCAGAACAGTAACTGAGGAGGGAACTACTGTTGGCTGCAGACAGTTGTCCTCCTTGAACTTGGCAGACTCTCCACACTGGGCCACTAGCAGCTGATGAGCCACCTACATTCAGAACAGTAACTGAGGAGAGAACTACTCTTGGCTGCAGACAGTATGTCCTCCTTGAGCTTGGCAGGCTCTCCACTCTGGGCTACTAGCAGCAGCTGATGAGCCACCTACAGTCAGAACAGTAACTGAGGAGAGAACTACTCTTGGCTTCAGACAGTTGTCCTCCTTGAGCTTGGCAGACTCTCCACTCTGGGCCACTAGCAGCTGATGAGCCACCTACAGTCAGAACAGTAACTGAGGAGAGAACTACTCTTGGCTGCAGACAGTTGTCCTCCTTGAGCTTGGCAGACTCTCCACTCTGGGCCACTAGCGGCAGCTGATGAGCCACCAACAGTCAGAACAGTAACTGAGGAGGGAACTACTCTTGGCAGCAGACAGTATGTCCTCCTTGAGCTTGGCAGACTCTCCACTCTGGGCCACTAGCAGCAGCTGATGAGCCACCTACAGTCAGAACAGTAACTGAGGAAGGAACTACTCTTGGCTGCAGACAGTATGTCCTCCTTGAGCTTGGCAGACTCTCCACTCTGGGCCACTAGCGGCAGCTGATGAGCCACCAACAGTCAGAACAGTAACTGAGGAGAGAACTACTCTTGGCTGCAGACAGTATGTCCTCCTTGAGCTTGGCAGACTCTCCACTCTGGGCCACTAGCAGCTGATGAGCCACCAACAGTCAGAACAGTAACTGAGGAGGGAACTACTCTTGGCTGCAGACAGTATGTCCTCCTTGAGCTTGGCAGACTCTCCACTCTGGGCCACTAGCGGCAGCTGATGAGCCACCAACAGTCAGAACAGTAACTGAGGAGAGAACTACTCTTGGCTGCAGACAGTATGTCCTCCTTGAGCTTGGCAGACTCTCCACTCTGGGCCACTAGCGGCAGCTGATGAGCCACCAACAGTCAGAACAGTAACTGAGGAAGGAACTACTCTTGGCTGCAGACAGTATGTCCTCCTTGAGCTTGGCAGACTCTCCACTCTGGGCCACTAGCGGCAGCTGATGAGCCACCAACAGTCAGAACAGTAACTGAGGAGAGAACTACTCTTGGCTGCAGACAGTATGTCCTCCTTGAGCTTGGCAGACTCTCCACTCTGGGCCACTAGCGGCAGCTGATGAGCCACCAACAGTCAGAACAGTAACTGAGGAAGGAACTACTCTTGGCTGCAGACAGTATGTCCTCCTTGAGCTTGGCAGACTCTCCACTCTGGGCCACTAGCGGCAGCTGATGAGCCACCAACAGTCAGAACAGTAACTGAGGAAGGAACTACTCTTGGCTGCAGACAGTATGTCCTCCTTGAGCTTGGCAGACTCTCCACTCTGGGCCACTAGCGGCAGCTGATGAGCCACCAACAGTCAGAACAGTAACTGAGGAGAGAACTACTCTTGGCTGCAGACAGTATGTCCTCCTTGAGCTTGGCAGACTCTCCACTCTGGGCCACTAGCGGCAGCTGATGAGCCACCAACAGTCAGAACAGTAACTGAGGAAGGAACTACTCTTGGCTGCAGACAGTATGTCCTCCTTGAGCTTGGCAGACTCTCCACTCTGGGCCACTAGCGGCAGCTGATGAGCCACCAACAGTCAGAACAGTAACTGAGGAAGGAACTACTCTTGGCTGCAGACAGTATGTCCTCCTTGAGCTTGGCAGACTCTCCACTCTGGGCCACTAGCGGCAGCTGATGAGCCACCAACAGTCAGAACAGTAACTGAGGAAGGAACTACTCTTGGCTGCAGACAGTATGTCCTCCTTGAGCTTGGCAGACTCTCCACTCTGGGCCACTAGCGGCAGCTGATGAGCCACCAACAGTCAGAACAGTAACTGAGGAGAGAACTACTCTTGGCTGCAGACAGTATGTCCTCCTTGAGCTTGGCAGACTCTCCACTCTGGGCCACTAGCAGCTGATGAGCCACCAACAGTCAGAACAGTAACTGAGGAGGGAACTACTCTTGGCTGCAGACAGTATGTCCTCCTTGAGCTTGGCAGACTCTCCACTCTGGGCCACTAGCGGCAGCTGATGAGCCACCAACAGTCAGAACAGTAACTGAGGAGGGAACTACTCTTGGCTGCAGGCAGTATGTCCTCCTTGAGCTTGGCAGACTCTCCACTCTGGGCCACTAGCGGCAGCTGATGAGCCACCAACAGTCAGAACAGTAACTGAGGAGGGAACTACTCTTGGCTGCAGGCAGTATGTCCTCCTTGAGCTTGGCAGACTCTCCACTCTGGGCCACTAGCGGCAGCTGATGAGCCACCAACAGTCAGAACAGTAACTGAGGAGGGAACTACTCTTGGCTGCAGACAGTATGTCCTCCTTGAGCTTGGCAGACTCTCCACCCTGGGCCACTAGCAGCTGATGAGCTACCTACAGTCAGAACAGTGACTGAGGAGAGAACTACTCTTGGCTGCAGACAGTATGTCCTCCTTGAGCTTGGCAGACTCTCCACCCTGGGCCACTAGCAGCTGATGAGCCACCTACAGTCAGAACAGTGAGGGGATAACTTCTTTTGGCTAATCTAACTGCAATGCTTCCTAAATAATCAGTTCCTTGAAAAAAAACTTGGTTATTTAGTAGACTTGTTATATTGAGAATTTTGATTTCAAACAGGATTTGGTTTCTATATGTTTGTAAAGCTTAACAAGTTTTAAACTTTCCTTTAACATGTACATACTACAATAGTATACTACCACATGCTATTATTCGATTTACTGATGATATAAACTGTAAATTATCAATATGAAGATGGTAAACTATAAAAAGTTAAAATATGTTCATTCAACAAATGTATGGAGCTAATGGTTTACTCACCTCAAGTGTAGCACCGGCGCCAAGCTCAGTTGCGCTCTCTCTGAGTCGTCTTGTAAACTCATCCAAAGACAATGAAACAGCACGAGTTTGGCAAGAGAACTGCTCCAGCGCCTGACAGAGAACAATATAAGGTTCAGGTAACAATACTAAGGTTCAGAAAAATACTTACAAAAAATCAAATTATTCCAGGGTATTACACAGCAAGTTGTCAGGTTTTGATGGATAAACTTCCTGGTTGTATTTTTATTAAAGATGTGCGAGCAGCTCGATTTTCGAGCTGAGCCCAGCGTAGCCTAAAAGCTTGAGTGATCCAAGCACCAAGTCTGAGTCATTGGATTAAGTTTTTCCCATAAAATTTCTCCCATTTACTCATATCAGAAAATACAGTAAAACGTCATAAATGTTTTGCTTTTGAAACTTATTGTTGTGTGCAAAGTATTAGTTTATTTGATTATGCATTGCGGAGGTAGACAAATAGACAAATAGACAAATAATCTTTATTTACACATTCATTAAGAATAGTAGTAGCGTCAATTACTTAACACTAAGTACAATTAGGTACTTAGTGAGGTCAGGCAAAAAAAAACATAGTCTTAAGTGAGTCACAAGACTATGGACTGAAAACAACTGAAGAAAATTTTATCACAAAACCAAAATTTAATTTTCATTTATTTTATGTCTTTTTTTTAAATAATCTGTTGTTTAAGTTGTTTGATAATTTTCCCCCACAGATTTCAAGTTCTCTACTGGAACTCTTTGTTTCATTGGTTTTGAAGATTTATTGATCAAGATGTTTGTATTGTAGGTACTGCTGGAGTCTACAAAACCAAACATTACATTTTTAAGTAAAGTCACACTTTGAGTATAACTTACACTAAAAAGTAAATTTAGGAGAAAGTTTTGGATTGCAAGCCTTCCATCAACTTAGGCCCTAGTAAGTTATGTATTAAATAAACCCATAAATAACACTAAAGGTTATGGGAGTAGTTGGACTTACAATGCGCTGCTGGATCCAGTGGGAATGACTGTAAGGCATGGTTCCCTCTAGATCAGTGGTCAGTTCACTTTTGTCTACATACTGATGTAGCTCTTCCACACAGCTACAAACAACTACCTGGAAACAGAACAAATACTACTAGAATAGTATACAAGTGTTTTGTGTATAGTCTCAAGTTGTTGTGGTGATACTTATGCTAGGACAGACTCTTTCTCTTTCGTATTGGCTTCCTATCACAACAATTATAGGAAACTAAATCTTAACATTCTCTTTGGATACAGAAATAGATTTATATGGCCTAGTTGTTTATAATAAGTTATTTATGAAAAGATCACTTAATTGGATGAGGCTTTTACTAGTTGTGCTACTATTGATGCTATATTTGATCTTCTAATACAAGGGTTCTCAAACTTCACCTAGTTTTGCATTCTATGACATTCGGGAATGAAATTGTCAGTCAAAAATTAAAAAAATTAACATTTATTTTAATACAAACTCAGAAACTTTGCATCATGTTCTGTCGGATCTTATTCATGTTGTTTACAATAGTAAGCTTTCAAATGTAAGATATGAGTACTTACTTTGAATTTAAACTCTTCTTTAAATAACTTATTGCTAACTTCAGATATTGCTTTTTGGAAAAATCCTGAGGGTCGAATCACGTAAGCCACATTTAAGATACCTGGGAAGAATCCCTGCAAAAAACAAATACATATTTAAATAATGTTATAATAATGAACCAGTCCAAGTGTTGTTGCTAAACTTAAAGCTGTGCAGACTTAGATTAACTGTGGTGTACAGTATTTGGTTTTGTAAATAACGGGAACTGGGTTTTCAGCATGGGGTTGTAAAATGGGGTTGTGCATTTTGAATGCTCAAAACCGGATGTTAATATGGCCGATTGTTGCCAAATTTCCGGTGCAGGCTTGCCAATAGATGCACATACAATGTCTAAAATGTCCAAAATGCCAATCGCAGCGCTGGAACAGAGAAATTTAAAAATGGTACCAACTTAAACATGTGTCGTACGTAACCAATACATGTTTTCAATCTCAAAACTATGTCATCTGTTTGTTTCAACCGAAAACTTGTACAAAAGCAAAAAAAATCCAAAGTTTTTGCCCACAAATTTTGTTATATAATACCGAACTTTATTGGCTACTGAACTGTATATTTTAAGCCAGCAATAAAATAAAATAAAATCCATTTTACCAAATTGTATTCAACATTTACATTCATTGATGGTCTTAACTTAGGCTAACTAGTCCAGCCAAAATTAGTAATATAAATCCAAGATAATGTTATTATTTTACCAAATTTCATAACAACATACAATGCTCAAAAGCTATTAAATTACTACAACCCATAATGGTGATTGGCTGACAAAACAGTGATTACACAGTGATTTGTATCTCACAATACAGTGATTATGACTCAATCTAAGTGACTGAGAACCTAGATAAGTAGCCTACTTCCTGGTTACTGTAACCTTTACACAACAGCAGACTTGGTCAGCTAATACTGTAGTTGGCATTAAAATATGTAAATGTGAATTATAAAAACCTACACACTTGTTAACATTTTTAATTTTACAAACCTTCATTTTCATACCATATTCATTTTCAAAATATATTTTATTGTTTTAAAAATATTTAAATAACACTATTCTACATGTATGGCCTAGCATTTGTAAGTGGAGAACGTTAATATTTTAAATTATTTAACATACGGTATTGGAGGTTTTGGAGGGAAAAAACACGAGTAACCAAACTGGTTTTTGTAACAACAGCTAGTAAAAAATACATCAAAACCTTGTTTTTCAGCACTTCATTTAAACAAATTTTCCAGAAAAGGGCCCCTGCCCCATGGCCAACTTTTTCTTGATACCCCAGTAGGTCCATCCACCCCCTGAACAATTTTCTAGTGGCCAACGCTCAGCTCAGTAGTTGTTAAAATTGCATATGCAATAAACGCCCCGAAATTTTGAATTTACCCCCTATGATATACTTAGGGGAAATATGAGAATGAGAATGAGATTTTGATATGCTCATCTGAACCGTTTACAAACATGCTAGAACCTTGAAATTTGAAAAGGGTGTGGAACGTCACCTTGAATTATCCAGAAAATATACAAAAGTCCCATTTAATCAAACTTTCCAACACCCCCAAAATGGCAAACATCTGAAAACAACAAAATAAAAGTTTTTTTTTTAAAGGCTATAAACTAGAACTAAACTAACGTGGTTGGTAAGACCTAGAAAAGATTTGAAAGAATTTTCATGGTCAGCAATTAAATTTTCCACAAGACACTCTTAGGCGTTTTCCGAATATAACACCCCTTCACCCCAAAAAAGCACCCTACTTTCAAAATTTTGCATTTAGGCCTATTTTCAAATTTTCAATTGTTTTCATAACTTTTTTCTACCTAACAAAATTTGTATGCAAGTTGCACATATGCTGTGCATCATAAGGGTCCATATTTAGCAGCTGTAAATAATATGTAAAAAAACGTTATTAGTTACTCTTTAATATACACGAGGCATATTTTTTAAGTAAGTACCGTTTATAAATTTCTCCGTTCCAGCCCTGCGATTGGCATTTTGGACATTTTCGCTGTGTATGTGCATCTATTGGCAAGCCTGCGCCGGAAATTTGGCAACAATTGGCCGTGTTTACGTCCGGTTTCGAGCATTCAAAATGGTGCCGCCAATTGAGACTGCCGCCAACTATGAAGTGTGCGCTGTAATTTGATTTTTATTTAAGTGCTAATGGTGTGAAAGCCATTGAAATTCATCGACAGATTAGTTAAGTGTATGGCAAGGACATTATGAGTGACGTAATGGTACACAAGTGGGTAGGGTTTTTAAAGGGACGGCCGCACCAATGTTCATGAGGAGCAACAGACGGGGCGGCCATCTGTCATTACTGATGATTTGGTGCGTAAACTCGATGAAAAGTGAGAGAGAACAGATGGTTTAAGATCTCATCATTATCTGATGAGTTTAATTTAGTTTCGAGTAGTGTCATTTATGATATTGTGACTGAAAAATTTAGTACCGAAAATTCTGCTCACGCTAGGTGCCGAAAATGTTGACTGAGGTGCACAAAAAAGCGTCTAGACAGTGCATTGACTTTGATTTATTTATTTATTTATTTGTTTATTTGTTCACGGTATAACACCATTTTTAGTGCTATGATTGAGTGCTATGATGAGAAAGGAGATGATTTGTTACATCAAATTGTTACAGGCAATGAAACATGTGTGTCTTATGTTACGCCAGAGTCAACATCTTAGTGGTCAGCGCCTAGACAACGATGATGAGGTCAAAACAGCAGTGGCATAGTGGTCATCCAGTCAGGCGGCAGAATTCTTGGAGAAAGGAATGCAAAAGCTCGTGGAACGATATCATAAATGCCTTAATATTGAAGGACTCTATGTCAAAAAGTAGATTAAGATACTGGCTTTCAAATAAAAATATAATCATGACAATAAGTATACTCGTTTTTGTTTTATTTTAAAACGATACTTACTTACAAAACATGCCTCGTATAATTATTAGTTTTCAAATTATAAACCAACTAAATCGGATGATTCTTTTTTAAACACCCTGCAGGCCTATAACCTCTTTATACTTACTGATATCTTGAGTAAAGTAGTCTTAACAGAACTCCACTTGTCGTTTCTCCGATCAACCACCAGCACAAAGCCCATGTCAGCTTCTTGCATTCTGAGGAAGAACACACAACTCTCAACAAAACTTAGCAAATGAGCAGATTATTAGATTCAGGTTGTAGAATGGTTGAGATAAAAATGGCTCAAGAAAAATTTTGTTTTAATAGTACTTTAGATTATTAGTTTAACTTATTACAACGGCTCACTTAAATTATTTCAAAGAAATTTGTTGTTCGTTAGTACTTTAAAAAAATGTCAAGTTGTATTAGATTAGATTAACTTACTGTCTTATTATTAGAAATAAGTAGCCAACAAAGATTTTCAAAATATTTCTGCATGTTCTGTAATGGTGTTTTCTTTGTTAGAAACAACAATAATTTTTCATTTGGCAGTTACAATTTGAAAATTTTGAAAAAAAAAATACTAAATAATTTTTTAGAGTAATTTAGATTTTTCAAATTTATCAAAATCATTTTCATTTGTAGATTGTCCAGTTCAAACTATTAACTGAATATACCTGCACTGCTGAATTTGTTTTCCAAAAACTGGTGAAAAAACTTGTAGGGTATATTTGAAAAATATTTATCGCTTCGTCAAGTTGATATTTTAAGTTATACCTACCATGCAAAAATCAGTGCATTTTAAACAAAGACAAAATCAATGTCAATGCTGATAAGTTACATAGCAATGATAACAGGAACTCCAATTATTATATTGATAGCAATATTGCTCTCTTGATAGGCTTGGTGGAAGATTTTCTCATGGTAGTGTAACATGAGTTCAAGTTAAACTGAAATTATTCAGTTGGGTCTCTCTTAAATACTAAGACGATTACAAATAGTTGAATGAAGCGAGGGGAAACAACAAAAACAATAAATTTGGAAGCAGCAGCATTTGCAATACAATTAATCTTAGTACATAATCCATCGTTAACTTGGAGTAAAATTAAATTTGATGTGTTACTCTTACAGCTGTCAAGATATGCTTTTAAGGGGTTTGGTTAGGTGTAGTTGTAAGTAAACCAAATAAATTATACTAACCAAAAAGATAAAGTAAAATTATCTAATTAATGGTAAATAAAAAATTTAAAAAGAACTAGAGAAAGTATAAATTTACATTTTACCTATTATATGAGCGTTATTATTTACCCGACAAGTTTCTCTATTAAACAAACACTGCTATAAGTGTCTTAGCAATCTATTGTGGTTAAGATAAAGCTACATCAAATAACAAGCAGTAAATCGTTGTGGATCAAACGTACTAAAAGAAGGTTTAAGGAGCAAACACCAAATATAGTACGAGGTTATCTCCTGAATTTAAAGAAATGTTTACATCATAACATCAAGCGGTAGCAATACTGTAATTTAGCAGCTATCATGTAGGAGTAACTATTGATCAAATCATGAGGAACAGCGCCTGTTTAAAGTTTGAAATTCATAATTTACTCAAACTTTTCCATTCTCTACTACATTGGTTGGTAAAAAATGGAATAATTAATAGCAAATAGTACAGAAACAGTTGCTCATATTTATCAAATTATCAATTATTTAAGATGGGGACGCCACTATGCCACTATGTGCATATTTTAACCCAAAGATGAGTGAAGGACGAGTGGTGCGATCTTGTAGTTGTTAGTGACTAAGGCCTCCTTAAAGAGCAAATGGTAGTTATAAAAAATTACTGTAAAACACACAAGAAAAGGTTTGGTTTTTTTGAAGACTGAATTTTTTTCTACGAGAAATAAAATAAAATAAAGCAGCTACAACAGATGAACTAAGCTTGAAAAAACAGCTAAGTGTCTTATAATTTGATGTGATACTCCCTGGTGTGGGTAAGAATTTAACCTCCGCACTAGTGAGTAATACGACGATCCGCAGTACTATCCTGATAATTAGTCCAATTCCTTAATCCCAAGGCAAAAATGTGGTTCGGATTCCACTATAAACTGTAGGTCCCTTAGTTGCCATTAGCTGTATGTTGGCATTAGTCACTAACAAGACTGCAAGATCGCGCCACTCATCCTACACTCAACTCCATTCATACTTGGGTTGAATTACCTACTTTTGTATGCTCACCATTTCAATGAAAAGTATTAAAGTATTATAGTTTTGCAGTCATGTTCAAACTTTGATAATTGAGTATCGCTACTCTAAATGAGGGTGTAAATACGGAATATTTAACCTTTCCTAATTAATATATTCAAATATGAATGTGTAGGATGGGGTGAGTACTGCTGAGTAAGACCAACTGGTCCTTTTGCTAGGATTATCATTATAAGGGTTTATGACTGTTACCTATGTGTAGTGTAGATTTTATTTTTTGGAATATTAGAATTGATTATATAGCAGACAAAGCCTATTTCACATAATATGATCAATGTTAAATAACGATTTCTAATTAGGCCTAGTGATCAATCACACTTAATGAAATAAGGTGTCTCACAATTTAAAACTGTAATAAATAACAGCTTAGTGCTGTATATAGGTTCTTTAAAAATATATTTTCAACTACCTAAAACGTAAATCAAAAGTGCCATGGTGCCACTTAATACCAAAAAATAAAGAACTTTACTTTACAGATAACCTCATGACGTTGTATGTAAGCCGAGTCTGCCTAACCTAAGGTTTAAGTGCCTGGTGCATTATCGGTGCTTGAAACGACATAACAACAAGCTGGTGAGCGCAAGCTACAACGCAATAGTAACTTACGAAGGCACAGAAGTCAGATACAACACGAGCTTTTGATAATCGGCATCGTTCAGATTGGCAAAGTTACCCTGATCAGGAAGTGTGATCAAGGGAAACCCTTCTGGTGATTTGCCTCCTGGAAAACATCAAACTTACAGTCAACTCAAGACAAAGTATAAATAAACTAAACAAACTGACAAACACAACAACTGAAAATGTTAAAACATGAAATGAGAATATTAAAAAGTTTAAGTAGGCCTACCTACTAACTTAAGGTTAAATGTCTGTAGATCAGATTTTGGAAATTTGGGATGGTTATTTTCAAAGAGTATTTTTAAAACTGTTTCAACTAAACTGCAAAATTTGCCTCATCAAGGTGTTTTAGTTTCCCTCATGAATAACCTAATTGGTTTTTGGTAGGCTAACAAATGCATTTTAGTGCCAACTAAGTTAATGATATGCTAGGGATTTTTTCCTGACATTTAAATAGGCATGTTGATGAAAAAGTTGAGCTTTGATTGCAGTGTTGTTACCTGTTATTATGACATACTGCTGATGAAGCAAATCGGCCACCTCACTCACAGAAATGTCGTTCTCTTCCGATGTTGCTTCCACTGCAAAAATATTTTATATTAACAACACATTATATATGATAACAGTTACATAAACATTACACAACACAACAGTAATAAACATTACAAAAAGAAAAAATACTTTCTTGTTTAAGGGAACATTCATTAATATCGATGATTATTTTCGATTAGGCTATCGATATCTTTGTTTTCCTTCACGATCCATAACTTATTCCTTTTGTTTTAATATCTTCAAAACAGTGGCGCATAACAGATTTTTTCGGGCCCCCCAGCAAAAATTTTATTTTTTGGGCCCCCTCCCGTGAGTTATTTATAGACCACCGATACAACATAATCAAACACCCTCCCCCAGCGTTTTTTTTTTATTTATTTTTTTAACAACTGTGTACAGTGATCAAACAGTTGTTTTATCATAAATTGAGTAGTAAATAAATTATGGGTAATGTTTCATAAAATGATGTGTTAAGTAAGTAATTCAGTTATGGTTTGATGATAAAGTTACATCACTACATCATTATGATAAAGTTACATCACTACATCATTATATAATACTAGCTGTAACCCGCGGGCTTTGCCCCGTTTAACTTCTTAATTTTCAAGATGATCTCGTTCGCATGGCTCAATCACGTCCTGGTTGAAGTTCGTTCGCTACGCTCACTCACCTTTAGGTTGGAGCTCGTTCGCTACGCTCACTCAACTTTAGGTTGGAGCTCGTTCGCTGCGCTCACTTGCCTTCAGGTTAGCTCGTTCGCTACGCTCACTTGCCTTCAGGTTAGCTCGTTCGCTACGCTCACTCACCTTTTTGGTTGCAAATTAGCTGTTGTCATAAATGTAAAAGAAATAATAGTGCTGCACCCTGTTGGTAATCCTTGTAACTTTAATGCTATTGAACATCATAGAACAGAACCAACTTGTTTAATTGAAACAGCTGTTAAGATTCATTAATTCCATTTCTCATAAGGTTAACATGGGAAACTCCAGAGCCACTGGGGCGGAGCCTATTGGACGGATCACGAAATTGATGGTGTATAAACCTATTCCATGACATTCTACACGTATGTACCAAGTTTCGTGGCAATCGGTTCAGCGGTGTCCGAGTTTATCACCCCCAAACAAACAAACAAACAAATATATATACAAACATCCTCTTTTATATATATAGATTTATCAATATCAGTGGTTGTAGGCCTTAATAAATAGTGTTAAAATAAAATCAATATATCTAATTTTTATACGTATTAAAATGTTTTATATAAGGGAGGTTTGATATTTAATTTATAACACATTTTATAAATAATTAATTCGGTTAGTTTTCATCAATGGTTATTATTAACACAGTGAGGAAAATCTTAAGTGAAATCCTTGTTATATTCAGCAGCTAGTTCTGTTAATTTAACATTCAACTGTTCGTCTGTAGACTACGATAAAAACTCTGGGGTGAGAACAGAGTACATACTACCTACATTGTTCCAGTGCCGGATATACCACTAGGCCCGCAAGCAAAATGGGGCCGCAGAGGATTGAAAAAACATTTTTTATATTAAAAAATCATTTTTTAAACCATCAGTTCGCCGATTGCAGGTGACGATAATGATGTCCCCGTGATTGCGGCCTGTGGGACACGTTTACGATTTTAGCCGCAGTCACAGGTGATGGTGATGAGTCATCATGATCGGAGCCCGCGGGAGACATTCAAGATTTATCCGCTGACACGAGTGTCAATGATGTCCCCAAGATTGCGTCCCGCGGGAGATGTTCAAAATTTCACAACGGTTGCGGGTGTCAATGATAATGTTGTGATTGCGACCCGTGGGAGATGTTCACGATTTTACTGCTGACGGTGATGATGTCCTTAAAGTTACAGCTCACGGGATATGATCACGATTTTGCCGAAGTGTCGACGAGTGTCAAAGATGATGCAGCTTTGTTGCAGCCCGGGGGGAATGTTCATGATTTTGCCGCGGTCACAGATACCTATGATGGCTTTGACATGATTTAGGAGAGATGCCTACGATTACATCCACGATCTTGGGTGTCGATGATGCCCCCTTGATGCATAGGAGATATTCACGATTACTTCCGCGATCGCAAGGAATTTCCACCACAGGGAGAGGGCCGCTCAAGTAATTTGGCCTAAGGCCGCAAGTACGGTAGGACCCTAAATCCAGCACTGCATTGTTCATCTTCTGAATTTTTTTAGTGATTTGATTTATTACAGTACGGTATTTAAGTTCCATGATACACAACTATTTTAATATCTAGGTCAGGATCCGCTAGGCGGTTCGTTTTCTGCTAGTTCATCGAAATGTTTTTAAATTTAGGTACGGTACGGTAACCTTAAATGTTAAATTTGTTACCTTAGCTCATTCTCACTTTTAGGCCTAGCAACATTAAACGATTAATAATAAATTTAGGCCTATGGCTCAAATAATAGCTGTACATTAAGGGCGCAACACGCACATAGCAATTTGTTGTCAATAATGTCAATATATGTAATGACCCAGACTACAGTACAGACAGAACCAAACAAAGCCTGTCACGACAAGCAGCGCTGATGAGTCACCCGCATGAATCTCTATTTCTCTATCAAAATCAGGTGATCAACGGTCAGCTGAGTTACAAGTAAGCGGGTAGTAGTGGAGGGGGGAGGGGCTGCTCCGAGTGTGTGTCGCCCAGGCGGCAGTCACTCAGCTTCTAGCCTGAAGCAACACAACCACACGGACAATACACATTGTCAGGTGATCGTGGTGGGGGGTGGCGTTTTGTTAACAATTTTGTTAATTAAAAGATAAAATTTCAGTAGATTTGGCAGAATAAAAGTATCTACCAACACAATGTGTTTTAAAAAATTAGTCAGGAGAGAAAAAAATTCCAAGAACAAAGGATTGGTTTTACAGATGGTTTTAGGAAAAAAATTGTATCTCAAACTCGCGGGCCCCCCGCACCGCGTGGTCTGCGGGGCCGGCTGTTACGCCACTGCTTCAAACACACATTTAGGATAAATTTCAAACTATCAGCTTTGGTCTTGTTTAGGAAAAGAAAAAATAAATGGATTAAGAAATTAAACTACAGTAGACTACCTCTTATCCGGACTCCTTGGGATCGAGGCCAGTCCGGATAACGGTTTTTCCGATTAAACCGATGTCCCCAAAATCTCGTTAAAATGGACCGTTTAAATGCATACTCTATACAGTATTTTACTTAAAATTAGGAGAGCATTGTATTTAGACACATAATCACTGGTCTCAAATCTTTCCCATGAGAACAGTCGTTTCAGTACCGCCCACTTCCTGCTGATCTAGTCCGGTTAAACCAATGTGCTGATAAAAATTATTCGGATAAAGAGATGTCACGTCTACCAGTGTAGTACCGTCGTGAAGTTAGCGGCTCCTTTCATCGGCGCTTTTTTGGTTTGTAATAGATGTGGGTTGGTACTCCTGCGGACGCCACAAACGTGTTTTGCAGGGATGTCGGAAACGCAATTCAATGACAATACGGTGCGAAATGATGTTTTTATATTTATATAATGTCAATTATACATTGCTAAAACGTGTATACAAGTTAAAACTAATTAATTGACGTATTTTAAAAGGCATATTTCAGACCGAGTGTACATTATACGTAGCTATGGCTTAACATAACGCGATCAATTAAAACTCCGAACATAAAAAGTGCATAATCTTTTTTCCCAAGCCCATCACATCAACTTTGAGCTATTCTAATGGTAATAAACAATGTGTAGAATACTCAGTATAAATATGATTGAGGCAGTCCAGTGAATTACGAAGCTATAAGGCAAAATGTATATGGTTGATAGAAACTCGTATCAGGAAAAAGTGCACAATCTTTTTCCTAAGCCCATCACATCAACTTTGAGGTATTCTAATGGTAATGTACAATGTGTAGAATACTCAGTATATGATTGAGGCAGTCCAGTGAATTACGAAGCTATAAGGCAAAATCTATATGGTTGATAGTAACTCGTATCAGGAAAAAGTGCACAATCTTTTTCCTAAGCCCATCACATCAACTTTGAGGTATTCTAATGGTAATGTACAATGTGTAGAATACTCAGTATAAATATGATTGAGGCAGTCCAGTGAATTACGAAGCTATAAGGCAAAATCTATATGGTTGATAGGAATTTGCGTCAGGAAAAGTGCACAATCTTTTTCCTAAGCCCATCACATCAACTTTGAGGTATTCTAATGGTAATATACAATGTTTAGAATAATCGGTATGAGAATAATTGCGGCAGTCCAGTAAATTACAAAATTATATGGCAAAATGTATATGGTTGATAGGAACTCGCATCAGGAAAAGTGCACAATCTTTTTCCTGAGCCCATCACATCAACTTTGAGGTATGCTAATGGTAATATACAATGTGTAGAAGTAGAATACTCAGTATAAATATGATTGCGGCAGTCCAGTAAATTACGAAGCTATAAGGCAAAATCTATATGGTTGATAGGAACTCGCATCAGGAAAAAGTGCACAATCTTACCTCAAAATTGATGTGATGGGCTTAGGAAAAAGATTGTGCACTTTTCCTGATGCGAGTTCCTATCAACCATATAGATTTTGCCTTATAGCTTCGTAATTTACTGGACTGCCACAATCATATTTATACTGAGTATTCTACACATTGTATATTACCATTAGAATACCTCAAAGTTGATGTGATGGACTAAGGAAAAAGATTGTGCACTTTTCCTGACGCAAATTCCTATCAACCATATAGATTTTGCCTTATAGCTTCGTAATTCACTGGACTGCCTCAATCATATTTATACTGAGTATTCTACACATTGTACATTACCATTAGAATACCTCAAAGTTGATGTGATGGACTAAGGAAAAAGATTGTGCACTTTTTCCTGATGCCAGTTCCTATCAACCATATAGATTTTGCCTTATAGCTTCGTAATTTACTGGACTGCCGCAATCATATTTATACTGAGTATTCTACACATTGTATATTACCATTAGAATACCTCAAAGTTTATGTGATGGGCTCAG